TAAAAGGGCGGTTTCCAATTAATGAGTAAAATTTGGTCTGTGGTGAACATGCAGTACTGAAACTCAAATATAGTATTCAGTTATTTTTTAATAAAGTGTATGTTTTGTTATGTTTTCTTTAGTACATGTTCAAATTTACTAAACGTAGTAAAGACATGTTCTTATTAGAAACAAAAACAAACACTACCTAGCTTTCCATCCACCTATTTTTCCGTGCATTTTGGAAATGCGCATCAAAAAAATAGATAAAAATAAATAAATAAATTTTTTAAAAGCTCGGTTGACGGAAACGCCAAGACGCACATAAATTTTAAAAACGTGCATTAAAAACTTCTGCGCAAAACTGAGTAGGATAAACTTTTTTAACTACTACGATGGAAACATTTTTAACAAAAAGAATTCCAGTATGCGCATTAAAAAAAGTTGTTATAAGAGATGATGTAATGATAAAAAGCAAGAACGTCTGTGCTCCGTGTCTTATCCACCATGCTGCTTTGCCACTGTGGTATATAATTATGTATAATTTATTATATGATTATTTATTTACGTTTTGCCCTCAAAGTTTACAGACAAGTTTTGTACAGTAAATGTGTTCACATATTACAAGTGAGAGACTTATGAATGAAGGGTGCACCATTTGATTTCAAAATAACTGAAGTAAAACCACTATCTATGATTCTTTATTGAACATCAACGCTGAACGACTGAAATTAAAACACACATTGCCTAAAATGCAGCTCTCCCACCCTTGTCTGCGCCGGACTGTACGCGTGCGCTTAGCAGAAGTATAATATCAGACTAATAATAAGCATAAATTATAATAAAATAAGTCTAAATAAGCCTCAACAGAGCGGGGTCACGTGACTTCACACACGGTAGGGAAAGTAATTGAATAAATTGGACCGATTATAGACTTTGAATGTCGATTTCGATTACTTTTCGATTATTCACCCAGCCCTAGTTACAACCTACAAAAGGATCTGTATAATGAAGAAATGTTTTGTGAGCCTGTTCACAAACAGATTTCCTAAGATATTTTGACTCCAAAGCTATGTACGTCCAGACAGCAATTTGTACTGCAAATAAAGCACACACACCAATAAGCCTATATAAATATGAGCAAATAGACAACACACATAAAAACACAACAGTCTAACAATCATATAATGCATTAATGATTTGTTTAATTTCAACATTAACCTGACCTAATGAGAATGGTGGACAATGTTTTTAAGACCACAACGTCATTGTCCACATTCAGTTGTGACCTGTATTTATTTTTAAAGTATTTGAGTGATGAAAAAGTGTCAGAAAGCTTGACATGATTCCACAATGTTGTATCGTAGAGCTTTTTATTTTTTAGTTGCATGCTGATCTGCTGCAATTGATGCTATTGCTGTGTTATTCTAACATAATCACCCAGGGCTCCCCAAGCCATGGAAGAAAAAAAGAAGAAAAGGCTTTTTATTTGCATGTTGTTGTTTTAATGCAACAATTAACTACTATTTTTATATTTGTGTTTATTTTTATCAGTTGTGGATAAAATATTGTATTTCTAATATTTTAATAAAAATGTAATTGTTTTTTGTAAATCACCAAGCGAACCCTTCCATTATTGCCTTGAGCATCCCCACAGGGGATTCCAACCCCTACTTTGGGAGCCAATGGTCTAGTTCAGGGGTGCCCAAACTAAGGCCGTACTCACACTATGTACAGTTGCCTCGAACTGGGCCAAAGCACGCTTGTCCCCTCTCCCTTCTCCCTTCTCCCCCGACGGCCCGCACTCACACTACAATCGACCTAGGCACGCTTACGTCATTGATGCTACGCTGTTTAGTAAGCGCTCTCGCTCAGCACAGAGGATATTTCTCTTGTTATATCGTTTCAGTCGTATAATATGCCGTCAAATATTTCGCCAAACAGTCCTTAGGGATGTGGTGACTCGCAGTCAGATATTTCGCCGAACAGATCCGCCACTTTTGGCACTCATAAACAATCATAAAGCCCTCGTGCTGCAGGAATGAGGAGGTCTGCTGAAAGTGCGCGGCTGTCGTGCAGTGAGGGGTTTGCGTCTTTAATAATCTATGGCAGTTTGCGTTCATTGAACAGCAAGAATGATTAATAAAGCCATATGAAACAGTCCCTTAAAATCCATAAGGCTTTTTCTCACTTCCAAGAACGCCAAGAGAAGTCTTGCCAGGTCAGTTTGGAAGAACGAAGTCGGGAGGCCGCAAGAACACAGAATGGCATCTTCTGAGAAATTAGATGCTGCGTTCTTCCTGATGGTCACAAGACCTTCACACGTTTTTAACTGAAAATTATTTAACATTACAGCATTCATACAACAATTTATGCATAAAGACTTTACAAATGTACTTTGCACAATACAAATAAAAAAAATTAAATACAAATTTCAACAAATAAACTCCCTTAATGTGCTTATGCCTTTATAAACTTTTTCATGGTGATATTTACTTCGACCATTTCATTTAGGGAAATTCTGAAGGGAAACATCTCTGTATTTTATAATAAATCTATATAAAATGCTGCGCTTCCTAACTCCAGTCTCAGTGACTTCTGGGACTTCTACAGCGAGTTTTGCACTCAAGTCTGCATTGATGCATCCTCGATACCAACACATCCAGGAACTTTCACTCATCCTCTGTTCTTAAGTTTTGGATCTGAACTTTGGCAGTTGATGATGACGTTACACGAGAACATGAGGACGCAAGATCGCTGAAGAAAGCATATTGAGAAACAGCCTTAGTCTTGGAGCGCCAGTGTCTTGCAGGGTTTAGCTCCAACTTACCTCAACAAACCTACCTGGAAGCTTTTAGTACAACTAGTAAGAGCTTAATTAGCTGGTTCAGATGTGTCTAATCGGGGTTGGAGGTAAACTTTGCAGGACACCGGTCCTCTAGGACCAAATTTGGTCAGCCCTGGTTTAGTCAATACAGCATTACCATGCTTTGCATATTACCAGAGCATATAAACAGCTCTTTATCCACCATAACTCGATACCAGTTATAACATGGTAACGTCTAAATAGGATACAGCTGCGGATACAAACATCAATATTACATCATTTTTGTTACATTGTATAAAAATAATTTATATTTTTTTACAATACTGTGACGGTGGGGTTTGGAGTTGGGGTAGATGTTAAAGAAATACAATTTATTGGGTAATTTAATAAATAACATGAATAACACTCAGTACAACTACTGTTCCGTGTACACATGGGTTACCTCTGGGTGCTCCGGTTTCCCCCACAGTCCAAAAACATGCGCTATCGGTAAATTGAATAAGCTAAATTGGCCATAGTGTATGTGAGTGTGTGGGTGTTTCCCAGTGTTGGGTTGCTGGAAGGGCATCCACTGCGTAAAACATGTGCTGATATGTTGGCAGTTCATTTCGCTGTGGCGACCCCAGATTAATAAAGGGACTAAGCCAAAAAGATAATAATTTAATGAATGAATGAACAACTTATTTTACATTCCTTTGACCGTTGGGTTAAGAGTTGGGGTAGACGTTAACAAAATACAATTATGGGAAAATGTAAAAAATAATATAAATAATTCCTGTAACTTTCGGCCACAACTGTATCTGATCTAGCAACAACCTTATAACATGCAGGGTTCTTCTTTCTTCTGGCCATGTGGTACTATGATGTCATTGCTTTCATTTATTTCTACACTTTCATGCGAAGAGATTGTCCCACTCAGTAGCTCATGTTGATATTTTTGTTTTATGTGTGCACAAAAGAATTCTCCTATCTTAATAATAATTCAATTAAAACACTGAAGGCATATGATGTGTTTTGAGGATTTTTTTGTACCTTTCTAGAATTTGAACAGGCTGAGAACCTTGCAGTCTATGGAGGATGAGGGAGGTCTTAGATTTCAACTAAATTACATATAAATTTGTGCTTCAAAGATAAACAAAGGTCTCAGGAATTTGGAGTGACATTAGAGCAAAAAATTACTAAAATAATTTTCATTTTTAGGTTAGCTAAGTCCATATTGCCTATTTCTACTTCCAGGTTCTGACATCATCCCTATAAAATTAACTTTTAAAAATGTAACAAAAAATGCAGGCTGCCCAAAATCTGATAAATACCACCAGAGCTAGTTTCATGTTAGAAAATAACATCGTACTACAAAATACTAAATGTATTACAAAAGCTGATCCAGTAAACTAAGCTTGGCATTCTTCACATTGCTGCATAACATGTCAAAACAAGCGAGCATCTCTGCTTTAATCAGCTAAACCAAATCTGTCAGCAACCATGTTTATTACACCCAGCTGCTGCAAGAATTGGTTTGAGATTAATGACATGCATAAAAGTACATGTGATGTCAATATTGTAAGGTTGGAGTTCGTCTTTATAGTGACAGCTGGCTTTGTTTGCTATGGAGTTAAAGATTCAAATCAAATTTGACATAAAGCTGTCTTCGAGGTCATTTTGTAAGATAATTAATTGTTTAATTAATTGAGTGTAATAAAAGTCATTATTGACACATTTCACATTCACAATTATGAAATTTGATTTAGATTTTTCTTTGCCACATGTAAATAGTCTCATCACAGATAGTTTTAAACCCTATAAAAGTATCAAATTTAATATGCAAAATGTTATGGCCTTGCTTTTACCAAAGATACAACAGAAAAATGTGCTGTAGACAAACTACAATGCATTCTGTCATCTGACTGATAGTTTTAAAATACTTTAGCAAGTTATCATTCAGTCATGGAATATGTCTTATGCAGTAAAATCCTTTAAAATGTTACATTCTAGAGTAATATTTTTTAGATTAAAACTAGAATAAAGCAACTGAGATTTTAATATCTGCAAATCATTTATTTTAATGTTTTTGTGCATCTCTAATTCATCACTATCATTATTTCTATTACTATTACTATGCAACTCTACATGTATTTTAAACAAATAGTCTGCTTTTGCAGGTATAAAGAAACTATCTTAAAGCTGAACAAACATTTTGGTCTTCTGGATAAAAATGTTATGTATAAATTAAATATAATAGAGAGCATACTGTATATTAGCAATTTAAATGTGTTTTATACGTTGAATAATGTATGTGTCGAATACGTCTGAAAAACATAGAGGGTTATTTCTTGTTTGGCCTTAAAAGATGCGTCTGAATGCATAATACAATAACAGAACTATTTGAAGAACATAATCATTAAAATAAGTATACTTAATATTAACTGGTGTCACACCAGACCAGTGTTTTCGTAGTTTTCAACTCTTTCTTTGTCGTGAGTCTAAAACAAGGAAGTGAAAAATTCAGAGCTCAGCTTGTGAACATGACGTGTCTGACCATCTTCGTGTCTAAATATTTAAACAGACTGTCTGTGACCATACCTGTCATGCCACAAACATCCTGAACTAGTTTAATCAATTACATGTGTGTATAGAAGGCAAAACCAAAAGTTTTAAGACAATAGGAATGTCTTCAAAAGCACATTATTGTGATCCATGAACGAACGGTTCTTTTGAGTCGAATCTTTTGAAAGAATCGGTTCTCAAACCCGGTCAAAGGACTCGTTGATTAATAAACAACCCAAGCGAAACACACGAATTCAAAAAACTTTTCACAAAGTCACTTGCGCTTCTTGTACAATATGTGTAAGGAGCTATAACAACTATATTAATAATATTAGTCACTATCTGTAACGTAAATACGTCGGCAAGCTTACCTGTCGGTCGCGATGTGACTGATATCTTATCCCAAACAACATTAATGTCACACAGTAACCGTCTGTTCTTCAGCCGATGATCTTCTTCTGCCTATCCGGTCACCGAATAAACACGGGAAAGTTAGTTAACTAACGTTAAGTTAGTCGGGCGAGAGCTTACAGTGGTGCGCTGTCATATTGACGGCTGGTTTCTGCCAACTCTCTAAAGTTGTTACAAACCGTCCACGGCGAGAAATGAAAGCACGAAAGGCAAAGATTTACAGAACCTTATCGCTTGTTGACATTAACATTGCTGCCCTGTGAATTGGGGCGATGTTGTTTCACGACAGACCGCTGGGCTTCAGCGAACCCAGTTCAATGGAATCCCGGAAATCCCGCAGTCGGTACAAAATGGAGGCAGGAGGCCGAAAAAAACCGAATGCAACCGGAAAGTGAGACCTGTACGTTAGGGTAACTACATGGATAAGCTCTTTCTCTTGTAAAGTTAAAAAAGCCAAAACGTTATAGCAGTTTATTGTTACAAAACAAACAAAAACAATGTCGTTAAAAGTCAATCTGCCATATTTTTTAATTAAATAAATGATTTAGGGTAACATAGGCACTTGTAACAAAAGCAACTCTCTTATCAAATGAAACAATGGTTTTATTAAAATATAAATGCAGTAATTATTTTTTGTGCCAATAATATAATTTGTATAACCATGGTTAAAGGAATTTGTGTTTTAACAACGTTTTGGCAAAGCCAATTTTCCAAGTTTGTTTATTATAATTTAAAAAATAGTTCTCAGAAAAGAACAGAAAGGAAGCAAGAACATTGTCAAAGACTTCAATGTGACTTCAGTGGGTCTACCAAAATCAAAATATCTAAACATGACTCTTCACCAATATTTTTAAGGCAGAACATTTATTAGGGTACAGTTTGACATATTGCTATAAGAGTTTGTAGCACAACCATAATTCATGTAGTAATGGTGCCACTTGATCAGATGTTTTAACAATGTTTTACATCATTTTCTTGTCTTCTAAGGACCATTGCTGTCTATGGAGAATGGTAGAGCTTTGATTTAATCTAGAATACCTTCATTTGTGTTCTGAAGATGAACAAATATCACATGGGAGTGGAATAACGTGTGAGTAAATAACAACATTTCAAAACATTCTGAAAATAATTTCCTTTAATTGCAATTAGTGATGTTAATAACGAGTTTCTGAAGTTTACAAATAGTATTGTTTACTTGTTAGCACAAATATGTGATTTTGTTTGGTCAGTTCTTGGCAAATGAGATGTTAATTACGTTACAAATGTTTGTATGTGTGCTTAGATTTTTTTTAAAACTACATATGTGAATTTTTTTTTTTTTTTTTTTTTTGTTTTGTTTTTTTAAAGTAAAAGAGTACTCCAAAATTACAAGTGAAAATACAGGTATGCAGCATGCCGCCAAAATATACTTAAACGGAAAGTTCACCCAAAACTGTTCTGTCATCATTTACTCATCCTACAATTCCAAACCAGTTTGAGTTTCTATCTTCTATTTAACACACAAAAATGATATTTAAAAAAAAAAAAGCTGTAAACCTGTATCCACTGACTTCCATAATATTTGTTTTTCCTAGAGGTCAATAATTACAGGTTTACAATGTCTTCAAAGTAGCTTCTTTTGTGTTCAACAGAATAAAAAAAAAAAACTTAAAGAGTAAAGAGTAATTTTTTTTTTTTTTTTTTTGTGCGAACTTGAAGTAAAAGTAATGTTTAACCTAAAAGTTCATTTAGCAATATTTGAAAAATGCTTTTGACCACAGTGCTGGACCAAGTCCATTCAGTCATTTTATTTTCAGCTTAGTCCCTTTATTAATCTGGGGTCGCCACAGTGGAATGAACCACCAATTTATCCAGCATATGTTTTACGCAGCGGATTCCATTCCAGCTGCAACCCATCACTGGGAAACATCCATACACTCATTCGGACCAAATCACAAAACACAAATCAACAGTAAGAGGTGGGTGTAGTAACAATAACAGAGATATAAAAACAGTGTATTGTAATAGTGTATGTATTTATAAAACCAGACCAGACAAAAATTAAATCAGAAATTTTAATGCAAAGTGAAATAAACAGTATAATACTCAATGCTTACAACATGTCTGTATACAATTCAATTGTAAAACTATAATCAGAGATAATGCCTGAGAAACTACACAAAGTGAACATGACACTAACCCCCCTGATGAATTAGTTATCACCAGAAAATGTATTATTTGAAAAACAAATTCTCATGAATGATTTTTTTTTTTGCACAAAATCTTCTGCATTCCATCAACAGAAAGCTAACACTAACACACAAACAAAACACAATATTCTGCATTCTGTACTAAACAGACAGCTAACACACACAAACTGACAAAAAAAAATATTACATTTAGAAAAAGCTATATACATTATGGTCAGTGTACTTCAGATATTAAGGTGAAATTTTAATAAAAAATAATTGCGTCAATCACACATTTGCATAAAATGAAAGAAAATTTAAGGTAAATATATGAGTACTTTAATTTCAAATCCAATTATGAGGTGTAAAAGTACTGTTTTTTCAGGAATATATTCAAGTATTTGTACAGTAAAGTACAAAATACTACATCCCCCAAAATACTAATTAAATAATACAGTAAAAGTGCTCAAGTATTTCACACCGCTGGTTGGTTTTGGGAAACACAAAATTACTGAACTACGTCATAACAATGAAACTTGCAAGCAATGAAGATTTTTGAAAACACACTTTTAAATGGCTTTGAAAATGTAATAATTGACATGCAGATTTTGTCAACGTGTGCAAATATTTTTGATATAACAACACATTTTTTCTTTTTACAATTATTAAAAAAAATGTTTTCTAAATAACCCTCAGCCAAGGGTATATTACTTTATTTGAGTTGGAAAACAGCCGACAACAACAACAACTGTACATTTGTGCAAATGTGTTAGCAGTAATATTTCACAAATATTTATATACATCCTTCAAAACAATTACCCCTACTGTACCTTACTAGATACTTCATGGCACAGAAATATCTGCAATAACAGATAAGTAACTTTAAAAAGAAGAAGAAAAATGTCAATACACAAAAAAGCTTTTTACATATGTATAACTTACCCACATTGTACACATTACTTTAACATTATGTAGAATTTACAAAAATATAAAGTTTGCAATATCCATGCTCCGTTAAAAAAATTAAGAAAAACGTTTTAGTAAAACCTTTATAAATCTTTAGTAAGTGCACATGATACTATTCAATTTAAAATACATGTATAACACATTGTTTATGGAAAGGTGAAGAAATCGACATCTACTCGAATTATTTTATACATAAAGGTTGCGGCAATCAACCCACTATTGTCAGTTCTGATAAAAATGATTAGAAAGCACAAGCTCAACCATGTCTTCCCATTCACTTTTTTTAAACTTATCCTACTACATTAGTTTAAGGACATTCATTTTTGACCCTTTCAACGTGCTTTCTGGAACCTCCAGATCCATTGCTTGTATTTGCAGATGTCTCATTGTGCGTCTGCGACTATAGTCACTTTGCTCGTTTCCCCGACCATCTCTTCTAGGCATCCCTTTGTAAGTGTAACAAATGTCATCAGTAGTGTAATGACGTCTTGGAACCATTTGAGTTTTCCTATAATATCTTGCATCACCTCCCCTATGGGGTGAGATTTGCTTCGGACTCATTCCCATATTTGAATTTCTCACAGGCAAATTCTCAGTTCTGGTTGGGGCTTGAAGTTTAGGCACTGATATTTTGTTCCAGCTGTCATCAATTTCAAAGTTACTCCCCGTTCTTTTATGATCTCTTGATCTGTGTGCACCAGACATTTCGCTGTAGTAAACATCTGATGATGTTGGAACTACTCCAGAGGTTCTGGGTCTTGGGGTTGGTAAAGCCATTGTGACATCGGGTGAGTCGGGGAGATGTCTTGTCATTTTAGGCCTCTGGGCTTTTCCTGAAATGTTCATACCACTGTTCAAATCAAAATAAGGGTCCTGCATGGTGAATTTTGAGGTACCATATTTCTGATGGTTTGGCATTCTAATGTCTCTTAAGGAAGGATCTAGATCATATGTTTTGCCTGCCTTTATATTACCTCTTGGAATTGCAAAGTTGTTGGCGTGCATTTTTGTATAGTCATGGAAATCATCATTAGACCCCAGGCCTTGAAAATCAGGGTTATCTAATTCTGGTGTGTAGACATCGAGATTGGGTTTGAAATTGGTTGCCTTTATTTTGCCTTTAGGAAAATCAACATTCTTGTCTGGGACTCTGAAATCAGGTTTATGACTCCTGGTACTTAAATCTGGTGAATTAAAGAGATCTAAATTAGGGGCCTTTAAATCATAGTCGGGTGTCTTTATTTTTTGTCCAGAGAAACCAATATCAGGCATCTTAAATGTGGATGTTTTTATTTTTCCAGATGGCATTTCTGTTTTGGGAAGTGTAAAATCACCATTAGGTCCATGAATGTTAAAATCAGGATGATTAATCCCAGCATTTAGTTTGGGAGGTGATGAACTAAGACGGATGTCTGGATGATCAATGTCATCATCAAAATGTGGCTCTTTCAAACCTGACAGACCCAAACTGGGCATTTTTAACTTGGACATATTAAATTTACCTGAAGGGCCATTAACATCAATATCAGGTGGTCTAAAATCTAAATTTGAAGTTTTCAGATCAGTCTGAGGCAGAGTCAAGTCCATTCCCGGAGTATCGATTCCTCCATTAATTTTGGGGCTTTTGGTTTTCAATTTTGGAGATTTCATTTTAAAATCAGGTCCTTCAGCTTTTAAATCTGAGAGGCCAATCTTTGGAAGTTTCATTTTAGCGGAAGGCGCATCAATGTCAATCTCTGGAGTGTTCAAATCAACATTAGGTTTCTTGAAATTTGGTACATTTATTTTGCTTTTAGGCACATTAACATTCATGTCAGGTGCTGTGATATCTGGCTTATGACCTCTAAAGTTGATGTCTGGTGAATCCAAGTCTGCCTTAAACGTTGCAGCCGAAAGATTTATTTTAGCTGGCTTATCATAGTCAGGCATATTGATTTTGGGTCCTGTAAAACCAACATCAGGTATCTTAAAATTAGGCATTTTCTTTTTACTAGATGGCATGTCCATATTGGGGAGTGTTAGGTCTGTTTTTGGAACCTTGAAATCAGCATTAGGTCCATCAATATCAATATGAGGGCTTTTTACCCCTGCATTTAGTTTAGATGATGCACTTAGATTAAGGTCTGGATGATCAATGTCAGCATCCATATGTGGCCCTTTCAAACCTGGCGAATTTAAACTTGGCATCTTTGGTTTTGCCATATTAAATTTGCCTGATGGGTCATTAAGATCAACATCAGGAGATTTTAAATCTAGTTTAGGGGTTTTCATTTTAGCCTGAAGCAGATTTAGATCCATGTCTGGGGTATCGATTCCTCCCTTAATCTGAGGGGTTTTAAGATTCAGGTTTTGAGATTCGACTTTGAATTCTGGGCTTTTTGGTTTGCTTCCTGATAAACTAAATTTTGGCAGCTTCAGTTTACCTGAAGGGGAATTTATGTCAAGGTCAGGTGCATTCATATCAATATTAGGTTTCTTAAAACTTGGTCCTTTAAATTTATTTTTAGGAATATTTACATCCATGTCTGGTCCTGAGATTTCTGGCTTTTGACCTTTAATATTGAATTCTGGAGAATCAAAGTCTGCCTTTGGAGCTGAAAGACCGATTTCAGGGTTCTTAAGATCATACTCTGGTGTTTTCAATTTGGGTCCTGATAGACCAAATTTAGGCATCTTTAAATTGGGCAGTTTCATTTTTCCAGATGGCATGTTGATGTCAGGAGGTGTGAGGTCTGTTGTCATACCTTTGTGATCAGCATTAAATCCATGAACATTCATGTCAGGACTATTTATCCCTGCATTTAGTTTTGGAGTTGATGCACTCAGATTAAGGCCAGGATGATCCAAGTCAGCATCTAGGTTTGGGCTTTTAAAATCAGTTTGAGGAATATCAATTCCTCCCTTATTTTGGGGTTTTTTGAAAGTCAACTTTGGATAAGTCATTTTAAAATTTGTGCCTTTTGGCTTGCCAAATTTCGGCAGCTTCATTTTACCTGAAGGAGCATTTATGTCAAGGTCAGGTGCACTCATGTTAAAATTGGGTGTCTTCAAATTTGGTCCTTTAAATGTACCTTTTGGGATATCAAAATCCATGTCTGGTCCTGTGATATCTGGCTTATTGCCTTTAATGTTGATATCCGTGGTATCAAGGTCTGCCTTAAATTCTGGGGCAGAAAGATCCATTTCAGGGGTCTTCAAGTCATAGTCTGGCGTTTTTATTTTTGTTCCTGAAACACCAAACTTTGGCATTTTTAATGTGGGCATATTAATTTTTCCAGTCTTGGAAAAGATTTGCGCATGTCAAGATTTGGTTTCTTTAAATCTAGTGCTTTCATTTGACCTTTCGGTAAATCAACATTCATGTCAGGAGCCGTGACATGAAGGTTATTATCTACGTTTAGATCTGGGGAATCAAAGTCTGCCTTAAACTTTGGAGCTGAAAGATCCATTTCAGGGGTCTTCAAATCGTAATCTGGGGTTTTCAGTTTGGGCCCTGATAGACCGAGTTTAGGAAACTTTAAATTGGGCAGTTTCATTTTTCCAGATGGCATGTCCATGTCTGGAACTGTAAGATCTGTTTTTGGACCTTTGAGACCAGGTCCGTGAATGTCAATATCTGGACTACTCATCCCAGCATTTAGTTTGGGTGTTGATGCAGTCAGATTAAGGTCGGGATGATCAACATCAGCATTCATATGTGGCCCTTTTAAACCTGACATATTTAAACTTGGCATCTTTGGTTTTGCCATATTAAATTTACCTGACGGGCCATTAAGGTCAATATCAGGAGATTTGAGATCTAGGTTTGGGCTTTTGAAATCAGTTTGAGGCAGAGTCACATCCATGTCTGGGGTATCAATTCCACCCTTAATTTTGGGGCTTTTGAGATTCAGCTTTGGAGAATTGATTTTAAAATCTGGGCCTTTTGGCTTGCCAGAAAGACCAAATTTTGGCAGCTTCATTTTACCTGATGAGGCATTTATATCAAAGTCAGGTGCATTCATGTCAAGATCAGGTGTCTTCAAATCTGGCCCTTTGATTTTACCTTTTGGTAAGTCAACATTCAAGTTAGGAGATGTAACATCAATGTTATGACCTAGGTTTATGTCTGGTGAATCAAAGTCTGCCTTAAACCTTGGAGGGGAAAGATCCATGTCAGGGGTCTTCAAATCATAATCGGGTGTTTTCAATTTGGGCCCTGATAGACCGAATTTAGGAAACTTTAAATTGGGCAGCTTCATTTTTCCAGATGGCATGTCAATGTCTGGAACTGTAAAGTCCATTTTTGGACCTTTGAGACCAGCTCCATGAATGTCAATATCTGGACTACTCATCCCAGCATTTAGTTTGGGTGTTGATGCAGTCAGATTAAGGTCAGGATGATCAACATCAGCATTCATTTGTGGCCCTTTTAAACCTGACAAATTTAAACTTGGCATCTTTGGTTTTGCCATATTCAATTTACCTGACGGGCCATTAAGGTCAATATCAGGAGATTTGAGATCTAGATTTTGGCTTTTAAAATCAGCTTGACGCAGAGTCAGATCCATGTCTGGGGTATCAATTCCACCCTTAATTTTGGGGCTTTTAAGGTTCAGCTTTGGAGAATTGATTTTAAGATCTGGGCTTTTTGGCTTGCCAAAAAACCCAAATTTTGGCAGCTTCATTTTACCTGATGGGGCATTTATGTCAAAGTCAGGTGCATTCATATCAAGATCAGGTGTCTTCAAATCTGGCCCTTTAATTTTACCTTTTGGTAAGTCAACATTCATGTTAGGAGCTGTGACATCAATGTTATGACCAAGGTTTATGTCTGGTGAATCAAAGTCTGCCTTAAACTTTGGAGGAGAAAGATCCATGTCAGGGGTCTTCAAATCATAATCGGGTGTTTTCAATTTGGGCCCTGATAGACCAAATTTAGGAAACTTTAAATTGGGCAGCTTCATTTTTCCAGATGGCATGTCCATGTCTGGAAGAGTAAAGTCTGTTTGTGGACCTTTGAGACCAGCTCCATGAATGTCAATATCTGGACTACTTATCCCAGCACTTAGTTTGGGTGTTGATGCAGTCAGATTAAGGTCGGGATGATCAACATCAGCATTCATATGTGGCCCTTTTAAACCTGACATATTTAAACTTGGCATCTTTGGTTTTGCCATATTCAATTTACCTGATGGGCCATTAAGGTCAATATCAGGAGATTTGAGATCTAGGTTTGGGCTTTTGAAATCAGCTTGACGCAGAGTCATATCCATGTCTGGGGTATCAATTCCACCCTTAATTTTGGGGCTTTTGAGGTTCAGCTTTGGAGAATTGATTTTAAAATCTGGGCCTTTTGGCTTGCCAAAAAACCCAAATTTTGGCAGCTTCAGTTTACCTGAAGGGGCATTCATGTCAAGATCAGGTGTCTTCAAATCTGGTCCTTTAATTTTACCTTTTGGTAAGTCAACATTCATGTTAGGAGCTGTGACATCAATGTTATGACCAAGGTTTATGTCTGGGGAATCAAAGTCTGCCTTAAACTTTGGAGTGGAAAGATCCATTTCAGGGGTCTTCAAATCGTAATCTGGTGTTTTCAGTTTGGGCCCTGATAGACTGAATTTAGGAAACTTTAAATTGGGCAGCTTCATTTTTCCAGATGGCATGTCCATGTCTGGAACTGTAAGGTCTGTTTTTGGACCTTTGAGACCAGGTCCGTGAATGTCAATATCTGGACTACTCATCCCAGCATTTAGTTTGGGTGTTGATGCAGTCAGATTAAGGTCAGGATGATCAACATCAGCATTCATATGTGGCCCTTTTAAACCTGACATATTTAAACTTGGCATCTTTGGTTTTGCCATATTAAATTTACCTGATTGGCCATTAAGGTCAATATCAGGAGATTTGAGATCTAGGTTTGGGCTTTTGAAATCAGTTTGAGGCAGAGTCACATCCATGTCTGGGGTATCAATTCCACCCTTAATTTTGGGGCTTTTGAGATTGAGCTTTGGAGAATTGATTTTAAGGTCTGGGCCTTTTGGCTTGCCAGAAAGACCAAATTTTGGCAGCTTCATTTTACCTGATGGGGCATTTATGTCAAAGTCAGGTGCATTCATGTCAAGATCAGGTGTCTTCAAATCTGGCCCTTTAATTTTACCTTTTGGTAAGTCAACATTCAAGTTTGGAGCTGTGACATCAATGTTATGACCAAGGTTTATGTCTGGGGAATCAAAGTCTGCCTTAAACTTTGGAGGGGAAAGATCCATGTCAGGGGTCTTCAAATCATAATCGGGTGTTTTCAATTTGGGCCCTGATAGACCAAATTTAGGAAACTTTAAATTGGGCAGCTTCATTTTTCCAGATGGCATGTCCATGTCTGGAAGAGTAAGGTCCGTTTGTGGACCTTTGAGACCAGCTCCATGAATGTCAATATCTGGACCACTTATCCCAGCATTTAGTTTGGGTGTTGATGCAGTCAGATTAAGGTCGGGATGATTAACGTCAGCATTCATATGTGACCCTTTTAAACCTGACATATTTAAACTTGGCATCTTTGGTTTTGCCATATTCAATTTACCTGACGGGCCATTAAGGTCAATATCAGGAGATTTGAGATCTAGGTTTGGGCTTTTGAAATCAGCTTGAGGCAGAGTCATATCCATGTCTGGGGTATCAATTCCACCCTTAATTTTGGGGCTTTTGAGATTGAGCTTTGGAGAATTGATTTTAAAATCTGGGCCTTTTGGCTTGCCAGAAAGACCAAATTTTGGCAGCTTCATTTTACCTGATGGGGCATTTATGTCAAAGTCAGGTGCATTCATGTCAAGATCAGGTGTCTTCAAATCTGGCCCTTTAATTTTACCTTTTGGTAAGTCAACATTCAAGTTTGGAGCTGTGACATCAATGTTATGACCAAGGTTTATGTCTGGGGAATCAAAGTCTGCCTTAAACTTTGGAGGGGAAAGATCCATGTCAGGGGTCTTCAAATCATAATCGGGTGTTTTCAATTTGGGTCCTGATAGACCAAATTTAGGAAACTTTAAATTGGGCAGCTTCATTTTTCCAGATGGCATGTCCATGTCTGGAAGAGTAAGGTCCGTTTGTGGACCTTTGAGACCAGCTCCATGAATGTCAATATCTGGACTACTCATCCCAGCATTTAGTTTGGGTGTTGATGCAGTCAGATTAAGGTCGGGATGATTAACGTCAGCATTCATATGTGGCCCTTTTAAACCTGACAAATTTAAACTTGGCATCTTTGGTTTTGCCATATTCAATTTACCTGACGGGCCATTAAGGTCAATATCAGGAGATTTGAGATCTAGGTTTGGGCTTTTGAAATCAGCTTGAGGCAGAGTCATATCCATGTCTGGGGTATCAATTCCACCCTTAATTTTGGGGCTTTTGAGATTGAGCTTTGGAGAATTGATTTTAAAATCTGGGCCTTTTGGCTTGCCAGAAAGACCAAATTTTGGCAGCTTCATTTTACCTGATGGGGCATTTATGTCAAAGTCAGGTGCATTCATGTCAAGATCAGGTGTCTTCAAATCTGGCCCTTTAATTTTACCTTTTGGTAAGTCAACATTCAAGTTTGGAGCTGTGACATCAATGTTATGACCAAGGTTTATGTCTGGGGAATCAACGTCTGCCTTAAACTTTGGAGGGGAAAGATCCATGTCAGGGTGCTTCAAATCATAATCGGGTGTTTTCAATTTGGGCCCGGTTAGACCAAAACTAGGCATTTTGAAATTGGGCATTTTCTTTTTTCCAGATGGCATGTCCATGTCAGGAAGTTTAAGATCTGTTTTCAGACCTTTGAAATCAGCATGCGGTCCATGAATATCAATATCTGGACCATTTATCCCAGCATTTAGCTTAGGAGTTAATGGACTCACATTTAGGTCCGGCTGATCTATGCCAGCATCCACATTTATATGTGGCTCTTTTAAACCTGAAAGACCTAAACTGGGCATTTTAAATTTACCTGATGGGTCCTTAAGATCAATATCAGGAGATTTGAGATCTAGGTTGGGAGCTTTTAAATTCACTTGAGGCAGAGTCGGATCCATGTCTGGGGTGTCAATTCCTCCCTTCATTTTGGGGCTTTTGATATTCAAGTTTGGAGATTTGATTTTAAGATCAGGTCCTTTTTTCTTGCTACCTGAGATGCCAAATTTTTGCAGCTTCAGTTTACTTGAAGGGGAATTCATCTTAAAATCTGGTGTATCCATGTCAAAATTTGGATTCTTGAGATTTGTTCCTTTAATTTTACCTTTTGAGAAATCCACATTCATGTCTGGTGCTGTTATATCTGGCTTATGACCACTAATGCTGAGATCTGGGGAATTAAAGTCTCCCTTAAACTTTGGAGCAGACAGATTCATTTGAGGGGTCTTCAGATCAGCATCAAGTGTTCTTATATTGGGTGCTGAAAGACCAAAATCAGGCATTTTGAAAGTGGGCATTTTCTTTTTTTCTAAAGGCATGTCCATGTTCGGTAGTGTAAGATCTGTTTTTGGACCCTTGATATCAGCAATCGGTCCATTAATGTCAATATGAGGGCTTTTTATACCTGCATTAAGTTTGGGTGTTAATGCACTCAGATCAAGGTCATGCTGTTCAATGTTCGCATCAACATTCATATGTGGCCTAGGCATCTTTAGTTTTGAGGCATCAGGTGATTTGATATCCATGTTAGGGGCTTTTAAATCAGTTTGAGGCTGAGTTAGATTGAGTTCTGGCGTATCAATTCCACCCTTAATTTTGGGGGTTTTGAGATTCAGATCTGAAGACTTGATTTTAAGACTGGATCCTTCTGGCTTGTTACCAAAGATCTTTAATTTGGGCATTTTTATTTTACCTGAAGGGGCATTGATGTCCAAATCATGTGCATTGAAGTCATGACTGGGTGTTTTTAAATTTGGTACTGTGATTTTACCCTTGGATAAATCAATATTTGTGTCTGTGATATCAGGTTTCTGACATTTAATGTTGATATCTGTTGAATCTAATCCGGTCTTTAGCTTGGGAGTTGAAAGATCCATTTCAGGGGTCTTTAGGTCATAATTAGGTGTTTGTATTTTGGGGCCTGTGAGGCCAAAGTCATTTGGGTTTTTCAGATCAGCATGAGGTAGAGTCAGATCCATACCAGGGTCATTAATTCCCTCATTAACATTGGAATTTTTGAAATTCAGGTCTGAAGACTTTATTTTAAGGTTAGGTCCTGAAGGAGCCTTTACAATAAGATCAGATGCATTCAAGTCAAGATTGGGGGGGTTTAAATTTGAAGCTTTAATATTACCTTTAGGTAAATCAACATCCATGCCTGGTTTTTGACCTCTAATTTTAATGTCAGGTGAATTACAGTCTGCATTAAACTTTGAAGTTGACACATCCATTTCAGATGTCATCATCTTGGGCCCTGAGAGAGCAGCTTTTGGTTTTCCAGATGGCATATCCATGTCCAAGTCTGTTTTCAAACTTTTGTAATCAACCTTTGGGCCATCAATTTTTATGTTAGGGCCATTTAGTCCTGCAGCTACTTCGGCTGGTGACCCCTTCATACTTGCATCATATTTGATGTCTGGATTGTTGTTTCCAGAGAAGCTAAATTTTGGCAGTTTAAATTTTGATTTCTCGACATTATCTGATGGTACATCCATATTCATATCAGGGGAATTAAGCACTGCTTTGGGGGTCTTAAAATGTCCTTTTGTGAGGTGCATCACAGGAGATACTTGACCATGAGAGAAAGTACGATCTGGTGTATTAAAACCAACATCTTTTTCTAAGTCTGTATATGTTCCACCCCGTAGGTTTATTTCATGCTCAACATTGGTCAGGTTCACTTTGGATTGAAGTGATGAAAAATCTCTTGCAGTGTTGGTTTTGAGCTTTGCTCTCATCAAGTCACCTGTAGAATCCCTGGGATCATAATGGCTAATGGATGACCTTGTTTTCTCATCAAATTCTGTTTCAGATGGTGCGAGACACATCCGATCTGCATTCTGAAGCAAAGTTGCAATGTTTACCTTGCTTTTGCGGTCAAGTGTTTCAGTTGTCTCTTGACCACTGCCATGTTTGCTATGCCTTTTATCCTTTGCAACTTGACTTCCTTTTAGAAATCTCTTGACTTTAGCATTGTAAAGTCTGTCATATGAATCTTTCCACACCTGTTGAAACATTTCAGTTAGAACAAATCAATGGGTTTGCTGGACATATGATTTAGTGCTTTAAAAGCAAAAAATAAAAATAAAAAAACAGACCTCAACTGGAGCTTTCATATCCAGATTTTCCAAACTTCTGCTGGATTTTAATCCATGCTTTGAGAACTCCTTGTCATTATTAATCAACTTCAAAATGTCCACAGCTTCATTCTTCTTTTGTTTATTCCTTTTTAGCTCAAGCTGATCACTGGCACCAACAATATCTTCCCCTAAAAATTGCAATGTGAAAATTATCAACATTTTTCATTACGCAGAAGTTCCCTTAGCAAGAATTTTTAATCATCCTTTAAACACAAAATTGATTGGTGGGTTCAGGGCAAAGTTATTTTGTAATAATAAAGTATAAAAAGGAAAATATAAGTTTACAACATCAAGCAGCAGAACAATCTGTTTTTTTTGTTGTTTTTTTTTTGCTGCTAAAAATTAGAGAAAACAAATGAGACCATAAGTCTAAACCAATAGGTATTGATGGCTGAACCCACACTTACACCAAAGAATAAGACCAATAAGAAGTTCTTTGTAAAAAAGTGATGCTATGATGCTCAATAACTTTATAGTGATCGTATAGTGATAGTATTTTAGGACTGGGCGATTAGGCAATTTTCATGCATATTTTCTCAGTAAAATTAGTTTTAGAAAACCTCCAGCACATGCGCTTAGATGGAGCAGCATTTACTACAAAGAGTCGAAGTTTGTGCAGCTTTTCAATTAACTATGGCTCTGTGTAGTAAATGGAGCACATGAAAATACCACACATAATAACATAGTTTAACTCCAAACTTACCTCATAAGCTCAGTCAAGTGTTTGAAATCATTTATTTTGTGAGATAATTCCATAGTTGTCTGATTGTTAATTATGCTTAATCAATGAAACCAGTTCTACGTTTTGTTAATAATGAGGATTATAAGGCCATTTCCTGATTTTCTTTCTAGACATTTAGAGGCAGTGCACGAATATGTTTTCGTTTAAAAACACCAGTGTTGGGCAAGTTACTTGAAAAATGTTGTGAGCTAAGCTATTAGCTACTCTACTTAAAATGTAGCTTAACTACACTAAAACTACCCTCTGGAAAATGTAGCAAGCTAAGGGCGTACTCACACTTTGTACAGTTGCTTTGAACCAGGCCAAAACACGCTTGCCCTCCCCCTCCCGTCTCCCCCGACAACCCGCACTCACATTACATTCGGGCCTGGGTATGCTTACATCATTGATGATGTGCTGTTCAGTAAGCACTTTTGCTCAGCACAGTGGAGATTTCTTTAATTATATTGTTTAAGTCGTTTCATATGCAGTGACACACAGTCAAATATTTCGCAGAACAGATCAGCCACTTTTGATGCTTATAAACAATCATAAAGTCCTCCTGCTGCAGGAATTAGGAGGTTTGCTGAAGGTGCGCAGCTGTCATGCAGGGAGGGGTTTGCGTGTTTAATAAACTATGACAGTTCGCGTTCATTAAACAGTAAGAATGATTAATTAATCCATATAAAACAGTCCCTTAAAAGTCCCCTCTCGCTTTCAGTTTCGGGCTTTGGTGCGTTTTGCACTCACACACAAGCGTACCGAGCTAAAGCCCAAGTCTACAGCGCTCTGGCATACCTCTTCCAACCGGGCAAGGGCCGGCAAAGTGAACCATGCCTGAGCTCGATTCAGAGCACTCACACTTCTCAAACGATCCCGGAAACGGGCCCTGGGCACGGTCCGGATAGCATAGCGTGAGTAGGCCCTAAGCTAAAAGCTACTTGGCAAAAATAGCTTAGCTCGATCTAAGCTATTTTTGCAATTTTCATTTTTAAATCGAAGCAACTTAAATCCAAGTCAATCATATCTTAGTGATCAACAAAACTGTCAATAAAACATATGAGGCATAATTGTTCAGTTCAATTATTTACCAACAAATTATAGTATATAACAGCAAAACCAAAAAAATCTATAAAACCAGATGCAACACATTTAAAATACTATAGTAATTTAAAATAAAGGGATTTTTTTTTTTATGGATAAGCATTATATTGTATATATATTTACAACTCTTCATTAATGAATTACACTACATAAATGTAGTATCATCAGACACTATCATGAACTAATAGTTATTATCATAGCATTCACTACATCTTAACATGTACTTCTCGAGGTATGGTAACGCGGAATCCTGCTTTAGAAATAACTCCTCTCCCTCAGCCATCTTTCCATGCAGCAAATTTCTTGTGTTAGCGACGTCACAGACCAGAGTGAGAGGTGGCAGCAACCCACCAAAAAGTTTGTTGTTGACCACCGTAAAACAGGTGGAAGAAGAAATCGTCATTATCGCCATCATATGGATTAACTTTCATCGGCTAGACACCGGCCTCACAGCTCCATGAATTTCGATGCTGCCACTTATTGATCCGCAATCGGCAAATGTAACTTGTGTGGACGATACTGCGCTACTTGACTAAAACAAACAGCTACTGCTACGCTACTGAGAAATGTTGTAAACCTAGTAGTGTCACTACTTGTAGCGATGCTAGTGCCCAACACTGAAAAACACACATTTTGTCCTTCCATACACACTGAGACTGCGTTTTATTTTTAGGAAACTAAAATGTATCTTTTTGTAAACGCTGCCTAAAGTGGCTAAATCTGAAAATGTCATTATGGAGGCTTTCAAAAACAATGACGCATTTAATCATGTGATGCAATCATGTGACCAATTCAGCTAACATGGTCGAAGACACTGTAAAGCAGGTGTTTTGGATGCTGCCCATTTTGACAGCTATTTTAAAGATTATTGTCAGTTTGTACATGCTCCATATTGCCTTTTGCCGCAATGTTTCAAAGAGACGGAAAGTAAATAAACGCCAGGCAGATATGACGCAGGTAAAATCGTCGTACATCTGTGCACGTGCAATACACGAACAAAAGGGTTTTCAGTCGTTTTAGTGTTGATGACAAAAATAATTGGAAATAGATATTGGAGTGTGTTAGATGAAAACGCCATTTTCAAATAGATCCGGATGTAGCCGGAGTTTCTGGCAAGAGCGCTCTCTGATCTTCAGAGGAGATTTATTACATTTCACAGCTTTGCTCAGTTGTATTTACAATTTCACAGAATATTATTATAATTATTCAGCCAGCCTTGACCTAAAGAAAATAAAATCATAATCAAATATGCGACTGTACCTTCAAGAAAGTGCAGGTCTGTGTACTCTCCAGAGACATTATCTTCAAGCAGCAGGCTGTCAGAGAGGCTTCTTTGGTAAAGAGCCTGCCAGTTACAAAACACAGTGATTTTAACATTAAATTAATTACATGCATAAATAAATCTAACATTTTAAAGTTTTGATGAGCAACATATGCATTGCCAGTTTACACAAAATAGCATTTCATCAGAAATTCAATCATCATTTATTTCTAATAATAACTAAAACAGTAACACAAAATCAAGCACAAAAATCATAATCAACATGTTTGGAGGACAAATAAGATTAAAAACAGATAACATACCATTTCACCAGTATATATATTTACACGAAAGCCTCCAGAACTGAAACCTGTTAATGCAAAGGGAATTTTGCACTCATGAGAACCACGTTTCAATGCAAATTATTACAAATGCATGTTAAGTCACAATACAATCACATACTTAAACATTATAAACATATATTATATACATATATTCAGTGGTGGGAAAAATACTGAAAAATCATACTCAAGTAAAAGTACCATTACTTGACTAAATATGTAGTGCAAGTACAGTAAAAGTATCTATTGTAAATATTACTCAAAGTATGAGTAAGAAGTAGAAATTTCAAAAGTATTCAGGAGTAGTGAGTATTACGCTGTTAAAAGCTGATGCTTTTATGTGCAATTTGTGCATGTGTGTGTAAACGTAACATTCTGTAGTGCATTTAGTCATTGCCCAGCAGTCACACAACATCATAGGACATTAAAATTAGGTTAGATTTAGGTTGTAACGTCGGGTGACCAAAATTCAACGTCTAACCAGCATCTAAGGAGTTTTTTTGACATCCAATAATGATGTGAAATGATGCAGATATTTTAGTTGATTTTAACTTGTGTTAGAAGGTGACTAAAATCTAACGTCGAGCCAACATCTTAATCCAGCGTTATATTGACATCAGATACTGACATTTATTTGTCAGGTATGGCAACTAAAATCCAATGTCTCATTGACGTCATAGTGTCAAGCTGTAACATGATTAGACGTTGATATTGAATTGATTTTAGGTTGGACGTTGGCAATGGTGTAAAGTAACTAATTACAAATACTCAGATTACTGTTTTTATAGTTTTTCTCAGGACTTGTAATTTACTAAGTAGTTTTAAAAACGCATACTTTTACTTTCCCTTGAGTACATTTTTAGTGCAGTATCTGTACTTTTACTCCACTACTTTATTTTTTTCGAATTAGAAAAATCTGTCATGTGATTCCTGTCCAATCAAACACAGAGAAGGTAAATCGCATCATAATGAACTACCTTAAGACATGGGCGATTTATTATTGGAGCAAACTGTTTGGAAGCATTAAAAGTGTCCAAAAGGATGTCCAAAATCTTTAATCGCATTGACCCAGAGACTGTTTAGATGCATGTCGCTGATGAGAGGATGGCGGATGTTTGCTGCATGATGACCGAAGTGACCTTGAACACCCAGCAGGTACAAGACATCAACATGACGTTAGATTGACATTGTACCCTAACGTCATTGGGATGTTGCATTTTGTTTGGACATGAAAATCGGGTCTCAACATCAGGCCGACGTCAATGTCCAACATTCAACCTAAAATCAACCAAATATCAATGTCTAATGATGTTACATCTTCACATTGTGTATGTTACCACTATGACATCTATCAGACATTGGATTTTGGTTGCCATACCTGATGAATAAATGTCTGTATTTGAAAATGTCAATATGACGTTGGATTTTGGTCACTTTCTAACAACTTAAAATAGACCAAATATGTACGCCATTTGACTTTATTATTGGACATCAAAATAAGGTCATTAGACGCTGACTAGACATAAAATCTTGGTCACCGGACATCACAACCTAAATCTAACCTAATAATAACGTCTTATGATGTTGTGTGCCTGCAGGGCAATAACTAGATACACTACAGAATGTTACGTTTACACACATTTACAAATTACATGTAAACCAGCTTTCAACAGAGTAAAACTCACTACACACAAATCTTGAGTATTTTTGAAAGGGCTAATTTTTACTCATACTTTGAGTAATATTTAAAACAAATACTTTTACTCTACTTGCACTACATTTAATATGTAAATGTAAGTAAAGATTTTGGACATCTTCTTGGACACGTTTAATGCTTCCAAACAGTTAACTGCAATTATAAATCGCACATGTCTTGAGGTAGTTAATTATGCTTCGATTTACCTCTTTACTTCCATATGCTATTAGATTGGACAGGAATCACAGGACAGATTTTTCTTATCCCCATAGACAGGAGAAAATAAAGTAGTGACTGCAGGTTGAAGGAAAGTAGTGGAGTAAAAGTACTGATACAGCACTAAAAGTGCATCTAAGGGAAAGTAGAAGTACACATTTCCTTAGAAAAACTACTCAATTACAGTAGTTTGAGTATTTGTAATTAGTTACTTTACACCACTGCATATTTATACTGTATAATACATACAGTATGGGGCAATCAGTAAATGAATAGAAGCACTTCTCTCAGACTGAAAGAAACTGAGAAAACTTCCATGCTTTTTTTTTTTTTAAAGTCAGCATTTATCGCATTGGTGAATAAACAGACAGACGAAACTGTGAGGTATTCAAAGAATTGTTAGGATAGTGTAACAAGAGGGCGTTAGGAACAGGTTAGGCCAGACAAAAGAAACTGAGCAGACCTCACCTTATTAACCACACCCTCTGTTTTAAAGCTGCGCAATCGCAGAGGTACCAGATTATCCCATGATCATCTGTAAAGACATATTGATAACCTGTTCAACTGTGATGACTTAATTGTCAGCTATTTCATCAAAATCTACCAAAAACATTGGATTACTTGGTACAAAATGTGGTATATGATCATTTTACAAACTTGCACAAAGCTGTTACCCTTTTATTTATAGTAATCACAAATTAAGATGTTCAGAATCTGAAAATGTGCATCAGAAACACTCTTTTAGTAATATGTAGTATACAAAAGTACAGTAAATGTTTAGATTTACCAGTTTAAAAAACATCCCTATGCAATAATTAGAGGTATTGACACATAAATGCAATTTAAATACATTCAACTTTTTGTAAAATATTGTAAAAATGAAATTAAACAAGCATAACTTGTGCATTCTCTGCATAGTAATTCATAACAACTTGACACCTATGCTAGCTAAACATACAAGATTGCAGTTTCTATAAGATTAAACAATTTGTTTTAAACAGTCCAAGCTAATGTTTAAATGTGAACAACAAAAGAAAAGCCTTACCTTGTATCCTATGAGCTTTTATGTCCTTGTTCAATGTCTAGTAATAAAATGTCATGCTAATGACTGGATGTTTCCACTGGATGAGTCCGTGTTTACCTCTGTCCTCTTCATACTGTTCATGAAACTCTCGCTGCAGCAAGTAATACATTTCCAGAGCGGAAAAACAGGTTTAAGGTACAAACACATGCCTCGGTACAGCATCACTGCTTGTTCTTCATGGAGGCTGGGTGACATAACAATAATAAACCTCTCCCTAATTCCTGATTGATTGGAGAAAATCAAAAGAAATAGGAAAAAAAACTAAACTATGCACACAAATGAGTCATACCCGTTGGGACACAACTACCTGTACAAGGCGTAGGCACAACCACCCAGGTTGTTCTAGGTGGAGACGGTTCATAACGAGCGTTCACACCTTTAATATAACCAATTATGCACTAAACATTCTGAGAAAAGACAATGCGGTTCAAACGTCACAAATACATATTAGAACACTTTGGGACACACCTTGATTAATGAAAATAAGACCCTTTTTGTCTGATTAAAGAATTAAATGCAGTACAAAAAGTTGTTTTCTTACATGGAGCGGTCTAGTCCAAACGTCTAAAAAGTATCCTATTGAGAAGCATTTTTATACAAGAAAAAAAGAGTGTTTACAGATTTAATAGGTCAAAATTAAGTATGTTTTTCCTTTAAAAATGTGCCAATGGGGTACGAAAAAAATCATCCTTTTAGATTACATTTTGTCATCCTACATTTGATAACAAACTTCTTTTTACTAATAATGTGTCTTAATTTAATATCTTTTTAGATATTTGGATTAGAAATAAGCAGTGGTGTAAAGTAACATTGCAAATACTCAAATTACTGTGAGTAGTTTTCTCAGGAATTGTGAACGTTTACATTCCATTGAGTACATTTTTAGTGCAGTATCGGTACTTTTACTACACTACTGTCCCTCAACTTGCAGTCACTACAATTTTTTTTTTTTTTTTTTGTCTATGGGGATTGGAAAAAAACAGTCCTGTGATTCCTGTCCAAATCGCACATAGAAGGTAAATCGCATCATAATGAAATACCCCAAGACATGGGCGATTTAGAATTGCAACAAACTGTTTGCAAGCATTAAAAGTGTCCAAGAAGATGTCCAAAGTCTTTAATCGCATTGACCCAGAGACTGTTTAGAGGCATGTCACTGATGGGAAGATAACGGATGTTTACTGTATGTTGACCAAAATGGCCTTAAACACCCAGCAGGCACAAGACGTCAACATGGCGTCAGATTGACCTTTTATCTTAATGCATAGGGATGTTACAATTTATTTGGAAATTAAAATCGTGTTGACGTCAAAACTCTGAAAGTCAGGCTGACGTAAATATCCAAAATCAACCAAATATCAACATCTAATAATGTTACAGCTTGGCGATGTGTGGATGTTACCCCTATGACGTAAATCAGATGTTGGATTTTGGTTGCTATACCTGATTAATAAATGCCAGTATCTTATGTCAATATGATGCTGGTTTAAGATGTTGGCTTGACTTTGGATTTTGGTCACTTTCTAACCACCTAAAAACGACTAAATATCAGCGTCATTTGACTTCATTATTGGACATAAAAATAACTTGGTCCTTAGACGTTGGCTGGACATTGAATTTTTGTCACCTGACATCACAACCTAAGTCTAACCTAATCTTATGATGTTGTGTGCCTGCTGGGCAACAACTAGATGCACTACAGAATGTTACGTTTACACACACATGCATAAATTACATGTAAATGCATCAGCTTTTTAAAGTGCAATACTCACTACTCTTGAGCACTTTTGAAAGGGCAAATTTTTACTCATACTTTGAGAATTATTCACAACAGATACTTTTACTCTTCTCGCAATACATTTTTAAGCAATTAATGGTACTTTTACTTGTAGGATTTTTCAGTACTTTTTTCACCAATGGAAATAAGACATACACTCCATGTAAGAAGATTTTTTTTGTTCAATAGTAATAATTCTTTAAAAAAAAAACAAATAAAAAAACATAAAGACCAATAATAAAAAAAAACAATTTACTTCTAAGATCAATTTGCATTTAAATACAAATGTGACATTTATAAAACAACAAAACTATTTTTCCTGAGTTAAAGAGTCTTCTATATTGTATAGCATGATATAAACTGTGCAGTGGGTCATGCTTTACAATCAAACTACATTCTTAGCTGCAAATTCAGTATTTTAAACTTGGTCTTCCCCTCCACGTAAAAGTTTCTGGAAAGCTGAGTCTTCTCTTTGGCACAGAGTAGCAGGGCTGTCAAACTCCACCACCTTCCCAGCATGCATCACCAATACTTTGTCGGAGTCCATAATTGTGTTCAGTCTGCGAGATGAGAAATGATAGTTGAGTTTGTGAGGCAACACAAAAGTTCTTAAAGGGTTAGTTCACACAAAAACTTTAATTCTGTTATTAGTTTATCACACTCCTATGGTTCCAAACCCCTTAGACCGGGGGTGCCCAAACATTTTCGTATATAGGGCCAAAAACCAAATATCATTGAGAGCCATGGGCCGAAGGTAAATAAACCAAACTATATTACATAAAAGTTGCCATGGGTAATTTACTCATTTATTTCTCAATATTTCTAATTAAATAGAAAACAATATTTTAAATAGTATTAACTAATGCAGTATAGCTTTTCAAATTGTAACTGTAAATGCAAAAAAAACAAACAACTATAACACGGTGGAGTTTAACACTGAATACAGTAGTCAAGCAGAATCTGCCTTTGACTTGATGTCCTCACCAATGTCTCTGTACTGTCGATTAACCGTATACATTTAAACAAAATCTGATTGATTTACATCATTTAATTTCAGTTAGCTTTTAAAAATAAAACAAACAATGGCTTAAATTATATTTGAATTTACAATCTCAAAACATCCCCATCATTCTCTGTCTCTTCTCAGATGGGATGGTGGACCAAATCAAAGGTTACCATGGGCCAACTTTGGCCTACAAGCCCTAGTTTGGGCATCACTGCTCTAGACTTTCTAGACAAATTAAAATATGTTTACCCTCCATAAAGTAAAAAGTTTAAAACATTCCATGACTTTAGTGGTTCAACTGTAATCATAGGAAGCTCTAAGAACACTTTTGTGCACCAAAATGTCTTTATGCTAGGTTTTCTCTTCCTCGTCATACAGTATATCACAGAAGAAATGGTTGAGTAAAGTCATTAGCTATGTTTCCAATCAAAGACGTGGATTAAATCTATGAGCAAAGCTCAAATTCTCCTACAAGGATGTGTATACCACCTCCTGATGGTGAATGCGGTTATACTCACGGCAGGAATTATTTGGTAGTTTGGTCATTTATTTCACTAATGGCAACCGTCAAACATCCTCTGGGAAACGGTTTGAATTTCCACTTAGTAAAAAAACATTTGTCTTCCATTTGGGACGGCACTACATACATAAGTACACTAAGTGCATAGTGTGCCATTTGGGGCGTAGCTTTAGAGTTTTCTAGTGTCTCATTTCTAGTCCAAAAATGTAAAAAAGACTTTACTTAAGTAGTACTTTCTAGACAAAAAAAAAAATAATAATATATAAAAAAAAGTATACATAAAAATCAAGTAATAAAAATTAAGTAAATGTAATAATTTTCCAATGAGTTAAGAAAAAAAAAATCAAAAAGATTATTTTACTTACCCCATTGGCCAATTATTATGCTCATTGTAAGGAAAAAAACTCACTTAATTTTGACATATAATTTCCAAAAACAAATTTCCAAAACAAAATTTTATACTTGTTTAGAAATTGTTGCTTGATTTAATAATTATTTTTAATATTTTGACTAGAAACAAGACAAAATCTTTAAGTAGGAAATGCATTTTTTTTCTAAGAAAGGAAAGCTTAATGAAATTATTTTAAAGAATTAAGAGATTTTAGGCCCTGCATTGACGTTACCTATTCATCTAAAAACTTTCATTCTTCAAAATGTTGATGTAGAAATTTACAAAAAATCCATAAGGAAGAGATTTAATAAATAAATAAATAAATCCACATGAATTAAAAGGATAATTTGCCTAAAAATTTTGTTGAACACAAAAGTAAACATTTTGCAGAATGTTGAAAACTGGTAGCCATTGACTTCCATAGTATTTTTTCTTCCAACTATGGATATCAATGGCTATCGTTTGCCAACATTCTTCAAAATATCCTTTTTTCTGTTCAACATCAAAAAAGCTCAAACAGTTCTGAACACAAGGGAGATTAAATGTTGGTAAATTTAAATTTTTGGGTGAATTATTCTAAGGTTTTGAATTCAACTTTGGCTTTTATTCTGACATAAACATTGAAGAAGACCATACCATAGCCATTTGATGTACAAGAACAAAATAGATTTTCATGAAAGCTCAAATGTGCTGGTTTGAAACGGTTTGCTGATCAGTGCGTTTATGTCACAAAAGTCCACTTTAAACATGTTCATGTTATCTGTTAATGTAATACACAGGTGTCAAACTCCATTCCTAGAGGACCGCAGCTCTGCGCAGTTTAGTTCCAACCTTAATTAAACACACCAGATCAAACTAATTGAGTACTTTGAACTTGTTTGATACCTACAAATAAGTGTGTTGAAGCAGGGCTGGTACTAAAATTTGCAGGACTTTGGCTCTTCAGGAATTGCGTTTGACAACCCTGATCTAATATATTTTATGATTATGTCTCTTTAGAAGACAAACCTTTTATTTAAAAATATTTTTATGAATGTTTTGAAGCGTCAGAGTATGGAGACAGACATCTCTTAATAGATTTGAATTAAATGTCTTCATTTGTTCTGAAAATAACCCCATTTCTATTAGGTTTTAAGAATACCATGTGAGTAAATAATGAAAGAATTTCTTGTCAAGGATGAAGAAGATTGGGACCTGTGGGCGATGGTGAGAACAGTTTTATCCTTGAATTTTTCTCTGATGGTTTTCTGTAGCAGCATGTCAGTCTTCTGGTCGACACTCGCCGTGGCCTCATCAATGCATAAAATCTATCAGAGCAGAAATGAACAATAAAGCTCATAGTTAGGAGGGAATTACAAACATTTGTCTGAAATTGTTTATGTTGTACTTTAAAGCGAGACACTGCAGGCAAATATAGTTTTTGTCGAGCACCTGTCAGTTTAGATTTTTATAGAAAGTGTTTTTTCAGTCAAAGGAATATAAATCAATAACACACTTTTCACCACTTCTTTGTTGCACTTCATCCATTTGTGTCTGTAGATTTCAATTATTATATACTTTCTAACGTTTGACATAAAACTAATTGTACAATTTTATTGAAATTTGTATTATAAGCTTTTTTATAGAGCATACAAAAGAGCACAGTTAGCATACATGTTTTCTTTTTAAAAAAATCTGATAATGTTGTTTATGCTACATTTGTTACTTTTGTCATAACTCATGTTATGTAATGTCTATATTATGTTTATCATGGCATGCCAATGCTTTGTTTACGTCATGTCACGGTTATGTTTTGTTTATCATGTCTACATTGCATTATGTTTATTGTATGTTTCTGTTAATGTTATTTTAATGTTTAGGTCATGCTTATATAATGTTATTTTTTTCCAGCTGTTCACAGTATTTTCTGATTTATGGAGTAATACTGAACATACCCCAAACAACAAAAGGGCTCTAAACAGAGCTCTATTTTGACAATGTAGGCTCAAAGCGCATGGCGCAAAAGCATTAATGGTGTGTCCGAATCCACTTTGAAAAAATATGCTTTGCGTCCTGGCGCATGGTCTAACAGGGTTCTGCTTATTCTCTTAATGAGTTATGGGTGCGTTTTGAGAATAAACCAATCATCTCCCATTCCCTTTAAGGGTCAGTTGTGTCGCGCCGTGGCGCATTTGCTATTTACAAGGCGGACTTTGTAAGTGGAAAAACTGAACGCTTCACTAGGAAGAAAACAGTTAAACAAATCATCTGCAGCGCAAGGATAAGGCACAAGCCTCCTCCATTCGGCCTCTATACTTTCGCTTTACTTTTACTCTTTACTTTCGTGGATAAGGAAACAGTATTGTACACACTCTACTGAAGACATCCATTAGCCTACATATTTCATTTAGTTTGTTAAGCGCAAAGATTTGTCAAACTATTTCTAAATTCAGTTCTAATTTCCAGCAAACAAATAAATGAACAATATTAACCAAGTGTTGTCAAACAACCGAGTTATATCCAAACACACGTCCTATTCTTATGCCTCATATAGTGACGCATACGTCTCCAAAATCCGACTGGTGGACAAATCTAAACTTGTTTTTATTAAAACAAATATAAATATCCATTTAATAAATAATGCTGATGAACGTAATATTATATTAAAGCAAATTGTCATGAATAAACTGAAAAAAGCCCCCCGACAGGAAGGCATGGAGGTAGTGTTTTTTTATATTTATGTAGAAAATAATAATTTAAGTAACATTTAATCCTTTATTTTTTTTTATGTAAAGATATTTGTGTATTGCTCTACCTCCTGTGTGTATTAAGCAACGTGTAAGCCTTTGGACCTGCATGGGCGCATAACTAACATGGTCTGCACTGGATTTTAGACCAGCTTTTAGTTCTTCAATAGGGCGGTCTATTTCAGTTCCTCAAAACAGCAATAATATCAATCTGCAGGCCCGAGGAACAACACATGTTTCAGACACACAGTCCAGCCCATATGATCTAGGCAAACCATATATGGTT